TCGGTGCACGTCTGAACTCGACGTGCGAGCTCGTTTTGGGCGGCGCGTTGACTTCCCACAGGCCTGCCAAATAGCTCCCGGAGCTTTTGCTTGCATAACTCCCAGCTAGTCAGTTCTTCCTCGTGCGTCTCGTACCAGACCTTTGCGGTACCTCTGAGATAAAAAATCACGTTGGCCAGCATGAGCGTTGGATCCCATCGCATACGTACACCCACTCGTTCGTATGACTTCAGCCAGGCTTCTACGTCAATGCCATCAGTGCCAGAAAAGGTACCTGGATCTCTCGGGGGCTCCAAGATGAGGGTTGACGGTCCAGTTGGAGAAAGCACGGACGTAGTTGGAGAAGGCACGGTAGACGGGAAAGGGTCGGCATTGTTGACTGCAGTCGCCATGGGGGAGACCACTAGGCGCCCGCTACGAAGCTCCGTTTTGCGTGAAGTGAGTACCCCGCACCTCCCACCAATGATGTTACGGGAGAATAACTTTACTTTATAAAACGAGGAATAAACTCGGTGGTGGACAAGATGGCGCCCAGTTGGCTCACAGATCTGACAACATCGTCCTCCTCTTTGTCTTCTTCGTCGTTCTCATCCTACCGTTACAATATATATATATATATATATATATATATATATATATATATATCTTGAAAGTCTTCCTGGATTCCGGTCGAGTTATAAGTCACCAGAAGAAGCGAACGAGCAAACGAAAAACGATGCTTTATTGCCAACGTTACGGCCGGGGACCGGCACGAAGGTCCCCGGCCGTAACGTTGGCAATAAAGCATCGTTTTTCGTTTGCTCGTTCGCTTCTTCTGTATATATATATATATATATATCTATATATATATATATATATATATATATATATATATATATATATATATATATATATATACTAGAAGCTCAAAACTAGAAGCTTAGTCGAAGGCAGTCCACATGTAGGCCTCGTGAGACAGCGGAGAAGCATGGCCTCCTGGCTCCAACGTGGGCCGACAGCAAGCCAGGGGTCTTCTGTAGGACTGCAGTGCACTGGCTCCTCGAGAAATTTATAATGTTGCTGGTCTGTAGTACAGTAACATAGAGTTAATGTAGCATACGGTATCGATATTTTCTGTAGTTACGGTAGCATATACTGGCACACTACATCTATACTCATGGGCCTGCGCACGGGGGCAAGGGGGGGAGGGGGCGTTGCGACAAACTTTCGCCCCCCCCCCCCCCCCCACCCGAAGGGGAACCCTGCGCACGCTTATGTCTACCCTCCTGCCTCACTGCAGTTTTCTCTTGCTCAGTCTTGCTTACAAGAACACCATTCTTTATGTCACCCATCACCCAGCGATACAACGTGTTCAGGTCATCGCACGGTTCGCAGCAGCCCTGAACTGAGTGTTCCAGGCAGACTAGCGATTTCCCAGAGGCGTGGGCCGAATTTTTTTATTTGGGGGGGGGGGGGGGGTAGCGGGGGTCACTATGTAGGGGACGATCCCAAGCTTAACTGATCTGAAGTGAAGACCGATAAGGCAAGTGATCATTTTGCGCTATGTATGCATGGTGAAAAAAAAAAATCAGGCGGAAAGCGGGAGGCACGAGCTCGGTGTGTCACTCCGCCCCTCCTCCAGCTACGTCACTGGACTCTGCGCGAAACTCAGACGGAAATTCAGGTTAATATGCTTGGAACGCCCCAAGTACGTCACATTAATACCTACACTCATCCCCCCCCCCCTTTTCTTTATTGTTGTTGTTGCTGGCCTTTATGTGGCAGCACAGCCAAGGCTACGAAGCCCATGCACGCCCTTTTTATACATCACTTCTGCATGTAGTCCACGAACGCTAACTTTTTTATGTTGCGTAGTTTGACGGAAAATATAAAAAGAGATGTAAATAATACGTTTAAGATTGTTTGCAAATATTATTAGAAAGCATCAAGCGTACAGACTTTTCGTTCTTTTCTGTTTCTAGTTTTCTGGTTTTCTAGTGCTATTTCACCTTTTCCTTGCCCCGGTAACCAACGATGGCATCGCTCGGTTGCAGCAAGTTCACATTGGAGCTTGTGAGCGAGCATGAGTGCGTGTTCATCAGGTAATCTGTATTCATCTAGCAGGGAGAAGGGAAGACAGTGGTACGTTGTGAAATGTTTTGTTTCCCGCACATGCAATCACCGGAGAATTTGAGTGCGATGTGATATCATCAGTTAAAGTTGGACTCTAATTGAAAGTGACACCGGCGACCTGCCAGTCTTCAGCAACACCAGCTGCTTGGATGAAAAAGTGCGATTGGAAACTGTACGTAAACCCAATGAACTTTTTCCTAAATTATGTTGCATACGTGGTCGGTGTTTCGGCTTCCTAACATTGTTGATAAGACAACGACGAAGATCGCGTACCGTAACACCGCTCTCGTCGGCGTCTACGGAGAGAGTCGTTCCTTGCGTTTTACCTGGGTAACAGATGCGTTCACTAATATAATACACTGTGTATAACAACAACAGTGTATAACACTGTGTATACACTGTTATACTGTGTATACAACAGTGTATAATACACTGTTGACTGTGCAGAAACAGCGTTTTTGGCCGAGTACAGATTACGTTTCACCCATTTGGATTTAGGAACGGCAGACGCCCGCTCCTTACCTATTGGTGCAAATATTTCTGCTTCTCGTGGTTGCCTGCGCGTCACCTAAAAAAATAACGTGAGCATCTGCAAAAGATCTCGCGTCTCTAGTAGAAGGAAAACAATGATGCTGACCAAGTATGCACTGAAATTCAGGAAATGGTTTCTTCGCTTTGGGTTGTTCCAATCGCCCAGTACATGCTCTGCCGTGCCTTTTCTTTCTCAAATAGATCTCAACGCTTCAATGAAGTTTTGTGTTCTTTCCCTTAAAAAAAAAGGAACGTTTACTTCCTCCCAAATAAATAAATATCCAGTGTATAGTGGTCGTGCAAGAAAGTAAGCGTTAGATTGCGTTTGCGAAACCGAAACCTAAATCGCACAAAAACTGATTACTTGGCGTAGTAACACATGTGCACAAGCTCCACTCACGTAGCTTTGGCTGTGCTGCCACAGAACGTTGTTGCCAAGATAATAGCCGTCCTCGCCAGAGCCAGTCATTGAAAAATACTCCAGTCTTTGAAAAAGATTTTTTTTTTTTGCGCATGCGGCCCAAACTACACAAAAACTTAAATTAGCTCTAAGCTTATCAATTCTCCTAACTATTTTTGCATTTTTTGTCTTTGTCAGTACCATGGTGTCGCCAGACATTTCTGGTTATGAGTACTGGCCGCAGTGAGACCTATTGAATATACATGGTAAAACATTCATAGAATATCCACAGAGTGAACGATCAGTGGGGCGAACTGTCCATCCGCCCACCTGTCTGTCTGTCAGTCCCTCCGTCTGTTAGTCCGTCCGTCAACTATACGAAATCGTAAACTAAACGAAAACCACTAACGTCATTTAGTGACATTTTCAAGGACATATACACACAACGCGGTCTAGTGAGCAATCCTTAAAACTAGAAGTGGCGACATACGACGACAGCAACTACTGCTACTACTACTACTACAGTGGAGGGAATTTACCACCCACACCCTAAGGACCTTCGCCCCTAACTAAAATGGTTGAACAGGGAGGATCTCGATAGGCCAACGTTCCGACAAGATAAAGTCTTATTAGAGTGTACACTCAAGTCTTATTGACTACGTCAGGAACAATCCTTTCGTCAAAAGGACACAAGTTGTGCATTTTGTTTAGCCCCTACTAGCTTCTACTTTTTAAGTTTCGCTCCACTGAAATTCTTCCTTTCATGACAAGACCAAAGTAAGATAGCTTCGTTTTAAGGCCTTTGCATTGAATGAACACATATTCTGAATATATTTCTTTTGCAATTAACGAAGTCAGTTTGGTAGTCGATTGATTGATTTGTGGGGTTTAACGTCCCAAAACCACCATATGATTATGAGAGACGCCGTAGTGGAGGGCTCCGGAAATTTCGACCACCTGGGGTTCTTTAACGTGCACCCAAATCTGAGCACACGGGCCTACATTTCCGCCTCCATCGGAAATGCAGCCGCCGCAGCCGGGATTTGAACCCTCGACCTGCGGGTTAGCAGCCGAGTACCTTAGCCACTAGACCACTGCGGCGGGGCAGTTTGGTAGTCCGTAATATTCACATATAACTCTTAATCAGCGCCGGAACCCATAAGAATTTAACTTTTTTCTTTCATATTTCCGTGATGACAAGACACGAGCCGTGACTATGGTCTCCAAAAAAAAAGAAAAAAAAACAGGACGTCTACCAAACGAGGCTTAGAGTTGCCATTCGATAACCTAGGGTCTGCCATGGGCGTAGCATCTCCTTGACATGATGTGTGACACGGGCCGGCATATGTGAGCTCTTTACTATACCATGATGAAAAACAAAACATTTCGAGGGGAGTGGGCCCGGCTCAGTGTGCCATCACCTACTTACGCCATAGGTGCATTCCCATTGCTACCTTCGAATGATGCGATACAACAGTGCACTACTTTTGCAGAGCTGCCATCAATAAATCTTACCCACCATCAATGCATTGGGCCGTGGAGTCTGTGAAACCAACTGTCCGGTCATTGGTCCGGTCATACTGCGCACCACTTGTTACAAGTTGACAGAGCTGCCAGCATGCGGTCGACGACTGTATCCGTGTTCAATGTTGCACTCAGTGTAGGGGCAAATGTATCGCTAATTTATCAGCACGTCTACTTACATTGTAATGCACTACCATTACGGCGAATTTAGCAGGCTCCATGCCGGACAGCCAGGCCACCGCCGTTTTAGCAACAACTAAAAATTGCATGAGAACATTGAATTGACCAGGTAACTTTGAATGTTATTGCAATACTCAAAAACGTGTACTTACAGGCAGCCTTTGACGTCCAGATATTATTACTATTATTATTTAAACTGCCGCCACTGACCACCGTCGTGTGATGAGGGCGCGTCCATCGCAAGCGCGGGAATGCGGCTTGTTTGCGCGGCTGCCGCTGTTGCTGGTTTCGTGTTCAGGGAAGAGTTATTCCCATAGATATCGCTCTATCGTTGCTGTGCCTGTATCTTTGCGAATCACTACAGACGTTCCCACAAAATGCCCCGTTCTTGCGACGTCCTGGGATGTCCCAACGGTGCAGGCAACTCGTCCGTTTCCTATCACGTAGTGCCGCGGGACGAACGTCGGCGATCGCAGTGGCTCGCGGCCGTGCCCATGCGAAAGCGCGAGGGACGAGCACCGCCCAAGTTAATGGTGTGCTCGGAGCACTTCTCGCCCAGCGATTACGTGTACGATCCCAGTTTGAGACAGTCGCTGGGCTGCCACCAAAGACCGGCGCTGTCCCGCTCGGCTGTTCCCTCGGTCGCGCGTCTGACGCGCAATGAGCTTGTCTCGCTACAACAAGAGATCCTTGAAGGGGTGAGTGAACTACTTTTATGTACGATCATGAGGCTGTGGTACAACGCAATCGCTCGACGCTTTCACATGAAACGAAACGTGCGATCGGAGTGCCGCCAGTACGCCACTACTGCTCCTATGATGCACCTTTTCTTTCTCTTTTGCTCCTTCCCTGTCCTGTATTCATTCTTGTGTTGCGCTGTAAGTTCACGATGGATCCTATGATCGACTTGATGTAACGTCAGCAAACGCAACACGAAGGAATGAAGTGAAAATTTAAGGGCTCGCGTTTCCCTTTTATGCACAATATTAATGAGAACTAACAGACGAAGCTTCCAAGAAAACTATAGGGGATTTTATTGGTAAAAATTGTAAGATAATTGTGAATAAGAGTGGACAAAAAGATAACTTGCAGCTGGCAGGGACTAACCTGCGACCTTAGAATAACGCGTTCGATGCCCTACTTGACGTCACACCGCAACTGCCTACTTAAACTACGAATGCAAATAACCTATGTTCATTTCTGTTTCACCGCCTGTTACTTCAGTGGCGACGAGGATCCCTTTCAGACACTTATCACAAGTAGCGTGACATGTGTGAGATACTTGACGGAGGTCACCTTCGACGCTTAACAAATTGATCATTATTTGCCTACGAGCACGCGCTGCTTCTGATGACAGCTAGCGAGTTTTGTTGTAACTTGTCACTGTTGTTGTTGTTGTTCGGACTGCATTCCGTCGTATTTTGGACATCACCGCATAGCTGAATGTAACCAAACAAACCACTTCACTCGAAACGAAAAAGCTGGGGGATCAACATGGCAGAAAAGTTGGCATAGACCATGGGTACCCCATGTATAGGCATTATGCAAGGTAGAAACATACGGCTATGGTAATTACGAACATATCATCGCAATGGCTAAACTTTACAGCAGAAAAAAAAAAAAGTCTCTTTAGCAGCTGTTCCTATTGCCTCAGATTCAGCACTGTCAAAGCATTGTAGTGACTGCTGACGTCTTTTGGTTTTTATATAGGCAAGTGACACCGGTGCAAGCATCTTAAGAATTGACAGCAGTAACACACATATAGAAGAAAACACAGATGTAAGTATACAAGAAACCTTTATAACTTTTCTATCACCACAGTGATGACAGGAATTGAGAAAACACAAGCCTTGTCAGATATAGCGGCGTCACCGCTAAGAGTCATGTTGCCTGTCTGAAATAACGACTTCACTCACTAATTTCCAAAACTTAGCCACCATATTGATCTTCCTACTTATTGACATGCAGCATCATGCTTTGTAAACATTCTGAGGAACTTCGCTATAAATTACTTATAGATGGTGTATGTCTGGGTTCGACCAACATAGTCAAGAACAGCTTAACCTTCGTGAGATACTTACCCACGAGGGTTCAGCATGCTGTGAGAAAGTTCAAGTGGCACAGTATTGCGCTGTGGAATTTCTGCATTGGCCTTGTGCCACGCATTTTAACTGTTGTGTGCCTTGTATCGGCTAGACATGTTTATTGAACTCCACCCAAGCAATCGCTTTCTAAAAGGATGGCTTGGCAGGCTAGTTGGCATCACATCTTAGTCTACATTGCCCACTGACTGGCGCAAAGGGCAGAAGAAACGGAACACAACACTGTCTTGTTTCTTATTTGCTTCAGTCCCTGTCTCTGCATAGGCTGTAACCTTTTCAAGTCACCTCTATAAACTGTCTTGTGATACTGGCTATTAGGGTAGGGTATGTGGGTAACTCAATTCTTTTTTTTTTTTCACTGGCTGAATTCATACCTTTGATCAAAAGTTACAAACCACAACACAGCAATGCACTACACTTGGACACAACCAAAGAAAAAAAAAAAACGCTTTTCGCGGTCAAAGGTACCCCACCCAGCCAATAGCGCCGCCATGTCATCGTGACATCGCGGCTGACCACTTTACGCCTACAAGCAGCATTCGGACCCAAGATTTTATGAGTGCATTGATACTGTAAAGTAGTTCCTCTGGAAGCCTTTGTTTAAAGTGAAGATAAAATATTAGCTAAATTTCTTTGATTTCTTCATTAGAATAAAATGAAGAGCTTTGGTTTAAAGTCAGCTTGCAAGAGCGTGGTCTCACCGAAGACACTGATAGATTGTTGCGAATAGCCGAGGCACCTTTTGTTGTGAGCGCACTGTGAAGGTGGTTTACTGTGATCTCACTCACGGGGATGCCAATGGCTGGATGGGGGTCTTTTGACAACAAAAAGCCGCTTTTTTTCATGAGTTGTATCTTAATACAGGTCATTTTATATGTGCAGCTTTTGACAAGTCAGGTCTGGGCTTTAGAAACATTCAGAAAATGGAAAAGTTGCTGTCATTAACCTATGAAGCTTTCTTTTCTAATAAATCAATATGCCTTCAAGTCTTCGCAACTTCGGGATACCAACATATGGATTCCAGTTTTTTTTTTTTTTTTCGTTTCCCCGCTGTGGCGATCTCGTGGCTAAAATACTCGTCTGCAGCCCTGCAGGTCGTGGGACCAGATCCCGGCTGCGGCGACTGCATTTTCAATGGAGGCGATAATGCTGTAGGCTCATGTGCTCAGATTTGGGTGCACGTTAAAGAACCTCAGGTGGTCGAAATTTCCGAAGCCCTCTTCTATATGGTGGTTTTGGGATGTTAGACCCCGCATATCAATCGATCAATCACACTTTCTTTTCTTCTTTCTTTCAGGTATTGCCCTTGGTTGTCAGCCTTGTGGAGGGCAAGCCTTCGCCATCGTGGCACCAAGCTAATAAACTCATCTGTGCAGACAGCTGCGTTCTGCCTAGTCGTGTGACACCTGCAGACTTGAGAGAACTCGCGAGGCTTTCCCCACTTCGCAACTCTTATGAGAGTATCAGTAGCACCACATCTACGTCATCTGAACACGTGGAGTTTAGCCCACTGGTTGGTTATTACTTCCATCATCATGTTGCACTCATTGATCAAGACCCGTCATTCGTGAAGTCATGCTATGCCACAAATATCGATCTTCAACTCTACTTAACTGTCAAAAGTAAGACATGTGTTGATGAACCAACCTTAATGGTTTTCCTCAAATTTCTGTAAGCTCTACATAAATTTTAAGGGCACCTGAATGTCAACATGGCAAAAGATAACTACAAGATTGGTTTGTGAACTACAAGATTGGTTTGGGGCCTAAGTGTAGCTTTAGACCACCAATACCTATCATTCATATTACAAGTTCAACATATACATTTTCTCACAGAGTGTTTTGAGCTGTAAAGGGTTGGTTAGTCTGTTTAAAACATTATCACCTTTCGAACTTTTCTACATGTGAAAGTAGCTAGACGATACTTGCGGGCAACTTTTATTGGCAATGAAGAGAAGGTTTTGTAGCCAAAGTAAGCATGTGCCACCGCTGAAGAATATAGTCCCACAATTGCACTTGTATTTTTTGCGTGAACATCATAAAAAACACCGTTAGTGTCTACTGTAAGGAGACTCAGTATACAGCTAGGATATATTCATAATTCCTTTACTCGAAGCAGTGTCATTTCACGTGTGAAAACATTGCACGTTTCACGTATACTTCACAGTGAAAATGGCATCTTCGTCTTCGGGTAAGCACTCTTCGCCATCCAGCTATTTCGACGAATTGCTGAAGGAGCTTGTGACAAATTTTACTTGCAGATGGCCGTCTAAGCAGACGTAGTAAATTGTATGCTGTGTTATTCCTGGAACTTGGTCGTCATTTAAAGCGCGTGCCGAACCGGACTACTTCACGGAATAGTACATGTGGAGTAGCTCCGCCCCCGTAGCTTTCCCTTTATTGCCAATGTAATGATGATTGTAGTGGGTCATGCAAATCTCGGCACACACATTGTCAGTGCTAAGCACGAGACGCTCGGCCCGAACTGTCGCTGATTTTGATAGCTAGGCCTACGCTCCTACCTGGTCTCGGATAACAGTTTTGACTGTCTCCGTTCTATATTATAATTGGTGGAGGTGCGGGGTACCATGGTACCTGCTGACACCAAGATTAGTTGTCAGCGAGTATAGAACCATTCTTTGCCAATCACCAGCATGCTAAATCTATGTCTCGCACCGTGCTTATGAGTATGTATCACACTGCTCTGCCAACTTGAGTGCAAACTTGAAGCATAAATTCTATTTATGTTCATCATGGTTAAACAAAAAGCTTGGCTGTAAACCAGATTTCTTGTAGGTGCAGTTTTCAGTATTCCTTCATGTTTAAGAGCAATTTTGCGAAGTGCTTGAAACATCAGCACACACACTCATTATGTTAAATTAGCCACCAGAAAAAGAGATACAGTTAAACCTCTTTATAAGAGGCATGCTCTGGAGCAGCGATTCTCGTCGTTTATGAGATGTTTCTTATAAGCAGGATACCCTGTATGCATTTTTTTTGCCAACCTGCATTTTACTGTAGGCACATTGATGTCCAATAATAACCATTTATCTTTTATATCAGTGACACTGTATTACTTCGCAGCTGCTAACCTGACTCTTGTGATATAACCTCGCAGCTCTGAAGCATAGTTACATGAATGTTATTCTCATCCTTCGTTTTTCAAGCTCCTTCTGTGAGAACTGTGATGATCCTTCGAAAGTTGTAAACCAGAGTATTAAGGACATTGATTATCCTGCAGGACATGTTGGATGTCACCCTTGTTGAAGGCCAGCCATTGTCATTGCAATCAAGAACAAGAACAGATGACCTGTTGTCTCTCAACAGGAAAGACATCGGTAAGATATGAACCTTTTCTTTATCGGAGTTTCCTTTAAAGTGTTGCAGCGCATCGCTTTTTGAACATAGTTACAAAATATTGTCTATCTGTAGCCAGGGTTGTTGAGAGCACATGAGCTGAATATGATTTCATTGCATGCAGCAGCAGTTTTGTAAATTCATACCGAGAACAGCCAGTGCTTTCTCTTTCGTTGTGTTATGCTGATAACTCAGCAAATAGGAACGTAAATGGACTGCCTCGGAGACTATGTGCCATGTTGTTAAACAAGCATTGCAGTTGCTACTAAAGAAGACTGAATTCATTGTGTCATACAGACATTTACCACAGAGATCCTGGGGTAAAACTCGAAATTAAATCTTAAAGGACCTCTAAACCACTTCCAGTATTTTTGTACACTTCAAGGAAACACACGCATTGACTTCACTACGCCATCGAGATCAGTCATGCCAAACACGGTAGCACTACGAGTTACGGGCATTTGACCAAGTAGAAACACCATACATGCTACTCTCTGGGCCCTTCGGTTTCGCCAGCGCTGCTTGTGGCATCAGCACCCACACCTCACCTTGTTGGCACAATCAATAACCTGTTTGTGAGCAGCAGGTATACATGCGCACCCTACACATCCTCCTCGCATGGTGAGGAGCGCACTGTGAGAAGTGACAAGTTAAGTGTAGTGAAGGAAAAAGAAAGAAATGAGCACAGGTCATATTCCAATCATCAAACAAATATAATTCCACCATTACAAAACCATTTCGAAAAAAAAAAAAAAAGATTCTGGCGGACAGGTACGTCCACTCAAACCTCGATATAACGAAATAATGGTTATAATGTAGTAAATAAAAATAGTCTTGCAAAAAATATAGCTGTTAGGAATAAACCTTTATGACAAATTTTTGGATATAAGGAACTTATTTTCATGCAAGAGTCAACTTTGTTATAAGAGGTTTGTGTATTCGTCCGTAGACCTCATACACAACTGCAACACCACAACTAAGTTATGACCTCCGGGTGGGTCAGGGGCCATGTAAAATTCATGTTCTCTTCTAATGATGTAGCTGGCATAAAGATATTAGAAAAATCAAAGTTTGGATATAATTTAGCAGTGCTACTGACTTAGTGCTTTGGGTTTCTGTGTCCCTTTAACAATTTGTGAAAAAGCTTAAATTTATGGTAACTCCTGTTGAACAACTGTAGGCCTTCTCTGCCAACAACGAGGAAACAGATATGCAAGCACTCTTTCCTCCGAATCATTGGAGAAGAACATGCAAGACAAGTCACCGAAGCATCGGACACAACAAGATCGTGCAGGTTACCATCCACGGCAAAAGCATTGGTCAGTACACTGGCATTGTGATACTTGTTCGGGTATTTTTTATGGCACCCATCAGAAAGTGCAGCTGCTGCATTCTTAATGGTGGCACTTTCATTTGTGATGAAAACTGAGTTACGAAAAGTTGTTTATATATAATGTATAATGGAATTAAGGCTATGAAAACTTGCGAGAAGTAGAATGGTTCAATGTTTTTGTCTCCATGTAGCGTGCGCAGTAAAACTAAAGCTTAGTGAACTTGTGGAACTTTCAGGAGGACTCTTAACGCTATCCCATTAACCCTTTCGTGACCAAAGAGAAGAAGAAAAATTTGCCTGAATCCCCAATAACTTTCTCCTCCCAAATTGTAGAACTTTTTTTTTCCTAAATAAAACGATACCATTGCTTCAACTCATTGGTGTTCCTTCATTTCACTAATCGCATAGAAAAAGATAACTCGATACTGCCTACACCGCATGGAAATACAATGAAAAGTCTAGATAAAAGGAAAGCCGAGACATAAATGACCCAACGTGGACAAGTTTGGAAATCTAGCGTCAAGAAACACAAATATGACGAGTATTGTCTGCCTTGTTTTTGCGTGGGACCAATGTCTGTTGATGACAAGTATAGTCGTCATCAGTCATTTTGTTTGAATATCTCATAACAACTGTACTTGTCGATGGTTGCGAAAAGGTTAGAGCTTGTTTCGCGGAAATTCCTGTGTCGACGGCGGCGATGTCTTTCGTTGTGAGTGAAATAGCGCCGTTGGCTGTGAACCAAAATATGAGGCAGATGTGCAAATAAATATAGGAGATGGAGGTCGTTTGCACTTCGGCTTTCCTTGTGGCATTGCTTAGGCCTCCGCCGAAAAGCATAGGCAGGCTAACGGTTAGTAAGGTGGTAGTGTGTGTGTGGGTGTGGATATCACTACCATTTTCCACTCTCAAAAATGAAGCTCAAGGCCCCCCCGCCTTTTTTCTTTTTGTCGTCTTGAAACAAAACCACCATGCACTTCCAAGCACTTCCGCCACGGTAGAAAAAATTTTCAAATGTTCAATAATTTACATCACTACAGTGCCAATAAAGTACTCTGCAGTAGCGTTCATGAAGTGTGCCTTACTTAAAAGAACAACAAAAAGAAAAACAAGGCAGTTTACGTTTGATTTTTGTATTATTTCAAAATTTGATACACCTGTATATGTTCACTTTCATGTATGATCTGTGAACTGGATGCAGCCGCTGTAGTACCTTGTTTATGTGATTGCCTGCCATAGCAATTTAGTGGCTAAGGCATTCAGCTGCTAAGCTGAAAGATGTTGGTCCATTTTCCAGTCATGTTGGCAGCATATGAATGAATATGAAATTCAATAATGATAATGTGTTGGGTGCATGCCAAAGAATTCCTGGTGGTCGAAATGCGTCCATAGTTGCCTTCTATAATGTGCCCCACATGTAATAGTATCGTGGTGTGGGCGTGCAAAACTGGGTCAGTCTTTAAAGGGTGTGCTTCTTTGATATTCGTGGGTATTATTCCGTATATTATGACATCACTTTTTCTGCAGGAACTCAGGTGAATATGACGATGAAGGGGGTTATGAGCGAAAGTCTGCAGGCTGATATTGGAGATAACTTAGTAATGAAGCTTTGAAGAGGAGGGAACCAACAGTGTTAATGTAACACCCTGGAAATCGGAAGTCAGGCATATACAACTAGGCTGCAACACAAGACAGATAATTCAGATTGCTCTGCCGGTGTCACTACTGGATGCCAGGTAATTACGCTTCATGGTTTTGTAGATATTGATAAAGACGGCCGACTTCTGGGCACTCATGCATTGAATTATTCAGTTCAGACTTCTTGGCAGGGCAAGTTGTTAGCATGTAGAAAGCAACATTACGATAAGACTCCTTAATTGAATTTCACTCCTAGTACTTGTAACATTAATTTCAGTGCAACAAGATTCCATGGCATTCTCTGTATTATAGGGCAGCCTCATATGCATAAATTTCTGATCGTTGTCAGCTCAAGCATTCGATCATTTGAAAGTCAAGGTAATCTTACTTCACCTTAAAAAATTATAGTGTTTGCGAGATCCATGGTGTTAAACGACTGAAAATGCTATGGTGCTGTTGCTGGTGATTTAACACTGTAAAAAATACTAACAGCTATGAATGTATGTTAATAGTTCCTCTGATTGCTTCATGACTATGTGAGCCCAGTGTTATCCTGTATACAAGCAGTTTCAGTTTGGCAAAGATCTGTCTCATTCTGGTGCACGAACGTGGCAACATGCACCGTCTTTGTCGCACCTGGCTGCATGTCAACAAACGTAGCATGCAAAAACATCCCTATACATAGGTGCACAGTATATAAGTACAGCTGTGCAAAATTAAACAATCTGAGATCAACAACCATGATGCCTTTTTAAAAATTGTGTTGCTTTGAAAAGCTTAGCTGGGCTTATGACGCAAGCGTGGCACAATGTCATCACACCATGAAATTTTCACCCGAACCTCAAGAGGTGCCTTTTAGGTAAATAGTAGAGTGGATGAGACACTAAACGGGGGTCGCGGATATATTCCTGCCCAGATTAAAAGGGACAAATGAAGTTTAGCAGGTCACATTACTGGAGGAGTATTAAATTGGATGTCCATTAAGTGTAAATCAAAGGGTGTGACAGAAAAGCAGATGCAGTCAGAAAAATAGGGTGGTGTCATTAAAATTTGATATATCCAGGCATAGAATTAAGTGGGGCGATTCAAAATTGGCAGAGATCACTTGGCTGGCAGTGGACAAATTAGCAGAATGCTGATGATAATGCTTGTTTCTTGCTTGCCATATCTTCAGTTCACTAAAGATGCTTGTGGGTTAAACTGTTTCAGGCTGGTATGTGTATTGCAGCATGAATCAGCATTGCCAGCGGCTAATTAGCCTCCCACCAAAATAAAGCTGAAAAGCGGTATCAGCCGCAGACACTCGGCAACGCTCCCTGGACTGCATGAAGTACTGCTAGCTCCATTACTGTGACAACTCTCATGGACCATCGGAAAGCCTGCCTTCTTCATGTTGCAAGTATGGCAAGGTTTCCAGCTCTCCTGTGATGTGTTTACACCAAAAAGACCAAATGTGCAGGAGGTGTAGAATTTCGTATCTGAATTAGACTGCACCTCTCTAAAGGGAATAATCCCCATAAGGTTTGCCTATGCGACTTCTGTTGCCGGTTATGAGGACTGTACCTGGAGCCCATTTATGTAGCATAACTCATAACCCTGCCCTCTGATGTTAAACAACGCATTTGGTGCTAATAGTTGCAGTTTAACGAGACTGCCTTTACAATGTCCTGTTGTTTTTTCAGCACTACTGTCCAGACAATGGAATTTTCAGGTGTTCCAGTTGGTGCAAAGCAATAATATGTGCGACACCACCACATGGGCTGCACAAAATGGTGGATTCAAGACAGCTGGTAATTTATGCAAGTCTGGCGGGATCGGCATTGTTAATCAGTTGAAAACTATCACCTTGGGACTGTTAAACACCTCAGAAAAGGTGTGTGTGTGTGTGTGCATGCATGACCACTGCATGAATAAAAAGACTTATTGAGAAAAAGAAAAGCTGGTGCAAGAATGAGAGAAGTAAGATTACTTTTTCTGTTCTCAGACTTCTATTTAACTCGTGGTTTTAATTATTTAGAACTGACTGAGGTGGAGGGCATCCCCCATTGATTTAAATCGTTACATGGCAAAGGATCATCACAAACAGGGCCTGTATCTTCATGGCATATTTGTTTGGCCTAACAGAGTGCTCTAACAGTGCTACTCAAGCTGTGCTAATGAAGCTTGAAAACGCTTCTATAGGAATAGGCAGATCTGACAACAGCAGTTACGCCTTCCTATTAACAAGTGGAGCAATCATATTTCTCACTTCACCCCAGTTTTCATTTTGCACAACCTTTGAAAATTCTGAAACAAACAACTAGGCATGCATACCTGCCAACCTAGGGATTTCTGAAATCGGGAAACTGGCTACAGGGGACAGAAAAAAAATTTTTTCAGGCGACATCTGTAATTGGTCCAAAAGATTGTCTTTATCTCTAATCATCACTTCAAAAGGTCCCTGCAAAATCATTTTTGAACACCCCAACAAAGTTAGTGTTAATCTCAAACGTCCGCGTCGAAAGACAACACTTTTTGAACATACTCAGAATCCAGTGCATATAATTTGTTGAGGCTCTCGTGAACATGCGAGACAAGTATAGCACAGCACATAGTTCACAGTCATTTCACGGACAGACAAAAAATAGCTCGCTTTCATTGTGGCAATATGAAATGGACACGTCCAAAGGCCGACTTAATGATCATGAATGCATTCTCTGTCAAGTTTATATTGGTATTCTCAAGCTCAATAAAAAACAAAAAGTTTGTCTCAGTTCAGAAACGCCTTTCTGGTACTACTTCCCCTCTCAATCAATGATTGTCTGCTTATTTTGTTTCTTGCCATGTTCATATGAAGTGGTACGCAGCTTAGTGCAACCCACTCAGGCCTGTGCTATTATAGACTACAGGCCTGAGTGGGTTGCTTGCCTCATAGTGAACACACTACCACAGTACTTATCGATTCACATCAGTTCTAAACCCGCTGGCCAGTGCATGCTTTCTCTATTATGCACCTCAAATCTTGGCTGACATTGCTTGGTGCTTAGCTAATTGAAACTGCTTCGACATGCAAAATGCACTGCCTGGGTTACACTCCTATTGGTTAGTCGACCTAAGTGAAGTTCTAGCGAGCACCAGGTACTCGCAAAGCTTGGCCATATAGTAACAGAAGAACTGTAGTGTGTTAGTGTCAATAGTGTTGTGTGCTGCATAGGTATCCTGGGCACATGGGCTGCTGCAGCAGTGGTCTTACGATACTCGTGATTCAGTACGGTATTCTTTTTGTTTTTTGGAATTGGATTGAGGCAATTTATTGGGAGGTTTATTACCAGGATCGTACAATCGGTCGACTCCTGGGCAAATCGAGAATTGGCAGGTATAGGAAGCCATTTGTGGATTGCTGTCAAGTATTAATGCATGTTGTGCTAATTGCTATGGTTTTGCTTACCAAAACCACGACAGGATTGTAAGGCAACCATATATGCCAGTGAGGGACTCCAGTACAATTCACCAACTGAGGTCCTTCAACGTGCACTGACATAGCGCAGTAGTGCACAAGCCTTGTGCACTTCTCCTTTCTGAACATTGTACCTAGTATACAAAATGTGGTATTGATATTACACACACAAAAAATGACAGCATGATTCCAGGAATAAAGCAGCTGGCCAGCAGCAGTATGTCAAAGTATGCAAATCTACACATTCTGCTTAGTAAAAAAGACTTTACACAGTGGTAACAAGAATCTCGTGAATGAAACAGTTGATCTACGTGGGAAGAAAAAATCTGCATTAGCTCATTTTTGTTGCACGTGTTCTCAGCAACTCGCTCGTTCCTCTTCGCAACAGTACAGTGGATATTGAGCCCCTTTACTAATTACTATTATACTAATGTAATAGACAAATAGGTATAAAAGGGGGACCAGTGTGCCTATATTGAAGTACAGGGTTGAACATAAAATGCATATGTGACACCCTGCTTATAAGAGTCACCTCATATAAAAGACAAGAACTGCTGTCCGGTGCATGTCTCTTGTAAGGGGTTCAACATTCCACTGATTTATTGATTGATATGTGGGGTTTAGCGTCCCAAAACCACCATATGATTATGAGAGGGGCCGTAGTGGAGGGCTCTGGAAATTTCGACCACCTGGGGTTCTCTAACGTGCCCCCAAATCTGAGCACACGGGCCTACAACATTTCCGCCTCTATCGAAAATGCAGCCGCCGCAGCCGGGATTCGATCCCGCGACCTTCGGGTCAGCAGCCGAGTACCTCAGCCACTAGACCACCGCGGCAGGGACTTCCTATCCACTGATGACCCTACCACACTTTTCAATAGTGCCCCAATCCAGAAGAGCCTTGGAATAGAGAACCACTTTCCATCAGCACTTGAACACGAATGGTTTTCCAAAACTTTTTTTTATTTGTGCACAGCACATGGTTCCCACAATAACTTCAACATACACACACACCAAAACAAAAATATAAAAGCTATAAACAAGATCTCAACAGAGGTGCAAAACTGGCAGCACAAAAAATTTTGCTCGTTGCAGCACTTGAGAAAGATGAATGAAGGACGACGCTGTTTGCACAACTCAGTCATACTTCTTGCTGGTGCTTGGCTTCTCAGAGGGAGCCACATTTCCCAGCAGCTCTTCTTCTACATTTTTCATGGCCCACTGGTGCTCGCAAATCTCGAGGGCTTCCCACTCGGCCTGCGAACAAAATTGCATGGCTGGATTTAGAGGATGTGAAGCACCTGGCGAACAGGCGGGGCAGTGGCAAACACACTCCAGTGCAAGAACCCTTTACAAAGGTCATTATGATCGACTAGTATCTATAATGTGTGAAACTTACATAATTTGATGACAAGGTTGGCTTGGTGATGTGCTTATGGTGGCAAAATGCTATGAAGAACACAGTTTAACAGAATGAATGCAAAATTTGACAGGTTTATCGTTCAGTGCATAGTCTTTAGTGTAGTGTAGTTCTTTATAGTGTGTTCTCAGTAGCATTTCACTACCATAATCACATTGCCAAGCAACATGAGCCCTTTCATCGCATTACTCATGGCAAGGGTCAAAAGGGAACAGTTAAGGAAGTACTGACTCCAGCTTTCTCAAAGTTGAGTTTACTGTGTCATATAAACCTTCCTGTAAATAGAGATTACTCTGAGAAAGTGTGAAGCTGGATAAATGCTCACAGAAGATATCGTCATGACATGAAAGTCAACTTTCACATGATGCACCAGTCAAGTACAATGGAAAGCACATTCTACTGCACCTACACATACTTGACACTAGGGTGGCATTAGGCTATAGTGTAAAGTCTGGTTACTTTCACTTGCCAGTATGGCTAGTTGTGTGATGGCCACTTGTGCATCGCCAACGCAGCCTCGAAGCAGACGAGGAAAATATCCCAGACAACTCGAGTGTGCTCGTGACACGAAGCTCATACTATCATATCATGGTATCAGGCTACAGTAAAAAATGAAAGTAGCTTTTAAATTAATGCTGTCATTACTTTTTCAGGGTGCCCTCACGTTTAACAGAACGTTTCCTAGGCTCTTAAAAACTGGGTCTGTAAACTGAAACAGAAAAGAATGGCAACTAAAATTTTTGTGTAAATACCCCTTCAAATCAAGTAGAATACATTATAGTGCACTTTACAGCAGTTAATTACAGTTACAGTATAAATAATTATCTAACTTTTGTAAAGTCAGTCATGCTATATTTCTTCAAAAAACTAAATTCAACAACCACTCAAATTACACGTGATAATAATTTGCTAGCAGCGAGCGTTTCTAACATGGTAAAAAAATTTGTTTCAAGTTCCTGTCCAAATGCCGCACACCTGAACGTCTTGAACTCGGCAATGCCTTCACGAAAGTGAGCAAGTTCAGCAAAATATTTCAAACAGAAGCAATGTAAAGTAAATTTAGGCAATGATGCTTGATTTAACATTAGCTCAGTGTTCACAGGCCTTTTCCTTGCTACCAGTGCACAGAAAGAGCATAAGTAAGTTGTGTCTACAAAGGAGAACGCCACGTCGCAAACATATGAACTAAGGTTGCTCACACCTATACCAGGGTCACGTGGTGTAAAATACAGTCGGGCCATTTCCTTCCACCCCTCTAGTTTTGTTCATGCTGCATAGCTCCACCCCAGTACATCGGTGATAACACACCGACTTGCACACCTCCTACTGACTTTGCACTAAACTAAATCCACGTGCATCCTTGTGCTTACCTTGAAGGCCTGCTTGGGGTCTGGAGGCATTGCTAGTGCAGGACCAGACATCTGGTCCTGCATCACTCTAGTCTGGTCCGCAGCTATAAAACAGACATGCGAGAAACGTATGAAATTACAGTCGTCTCCCAAGAGGCCTGTGCCGAGGTCCATCCTTAAGCATTCGCTTGCCTCATCTTGAGTATTGGATTCATGCACTGATATTGACATCTAAATAGTGCAAGCTGATACCGAATTCAGAATTTTCAGAATCTACAGCACCTCCAGCAGTAGTTGCGGAAAAGGTACGACTGCAATACTACAAGTAACATTTATCATTTGCTTCTTCTTCCCAGTTTCGTACTTGCCATTTCTCAAGCGCATTGCACTGTTTTGCAACACAAGTGCAGAAAAATAAACAATTGCGCTAAAGTGGTGGTGAAATTTGCTCACCGTTGTTCTCTCCCAGCACTAAGGCGTAGATGCTACGCAGCCCAAAGACATTCAGAAAGTACCACGATGCTGAGCTGACCCTGCACAGAAAATATTAGTATATGATGATCGCTGCTGTCCACAAGTACCACTACAACCTTCTAAGGGAACAGCCATACTGCAATTACGCCATGCACAAGACGCTTAGACAAAGCAGAGAAAAACACTGACCACGAGGCATCCAGTGACATGAGCTCGATGCCACGCTGCAACATGGGCTTGAAGCGTAGGGTCAACGGGAACGGAACCTTTGCTGCAATGAAATTACCACCAACTCTGAGTAAATCTGAACCCTTTAGTCAATTTCTAGTCTTGCTGGCTTTTTTCAGTTGGCTCTGAGATATATGAGGCACTTATGAACTTTATGGGCAGTACCAGCACACAAACTCACGGGACGAAGAGAAGAGACACAAACAAGCGCTTCTCAAGAGAGATCAGGTGCTCCAGCTAGCGAGTTTCCAACATTATAACTGATTGGCCAGATGACAGATCAGCGTGTCATCATTTTTCACTTTAAAACTTGAGTACCAGCAAGAGCTAACTGAGGCAAATGAAGACTCCTGGGAACGCCTATGATTGTGCATCCATTCAAGAATATGAGAGACACCACCACTTCGGCCAACGGCCCGTTTCACAAAATGCCACATGAATACAGACCTTGAACCTTCAAAGTGAGAAATAAATATGTCATGAAAGAAGCTGACAATGTAAAGGCATTGAACATTGCTTCACTTCACTTAGGCTGTCTTCACATTATTTTCATGTATTAGATCCATTTTTCACCTAGTCATGTTCACAGCTAAGCCATCAGAGCAACGACTCAAAATGTTGGCTGCAGCAGCAACAAAGCATCAACACTGAGCACTTTTAAGGCCACAACAGCCTGGGTAAGCTACCTGGAAACTCGAATTGCTGCTGTAAAGACTTGTACAGTACCCCTACATCATCTGCTAAGGAAACCAACACTACATATATTGAGTGGTTGCAGTGAACTTGAGACAAGCAGAAGAAAAAAGACACACAAGGATAGCGATTTCTATGCATCTTTCTTCATACATCCCAAGTTTGAGCAACCCAACTGCCAACTCAACTTAATGTTGCTGCTACTCAACTCATCCTGTTTGCGAACTAGCTCAGATGAAAACCATTACACACTTGGCTCTTCCACAAGAAGCCTACATGTAAATCAAACAGAACATTTCACAGCTTCATCGCTGGAGCACGACGTCTGTGATGAAGTCACCTAGGGACAAATGCCAGGTATAAGACTTATACTTGTAACAAATCCAGAGAAGGTCCAGTTGATCCAGCCACCAATGACAATCATGGGCAGGACATTGGTAAGATTTCCCTTGAGCATGTCGGTCATCATGGAGGGGTCAGTCATGGGGTTCTGCATGACAGGCGTTCGCTTCTGCGTCTTAAAGTAACCGGTCTCCTCATTGTTGAAGAAGTTCTTGCGCATTAGGAAACTCTGCACAGGAGGCAGATGACAAAAATTGCATGCTACAGTTTACTAGAGGCAGATGACAAAAATTGCATGCTACAGTTTACTACCCTAAAAAAAAAAAAAGAAACCACACACTCACAATATTTGCACCGGCGAGTTGAAATGTGAGAAGAGCAACAAGATGCCCAAACTAGGCCACAGACTACATCCGGTAAGCTGATCTTTAGCAACAGTTCTAAGGTCTTTTCTTCAGGCAACAAGCCCACAAAACTTTTTTGAAAAGGCACATTCCATCATCGATGGGACTATGCTTTCGATGTAACAAGCTTTGAGAAAGTACAGCGCTCAGAAAACTGCATTGACTTTTTCTGCAGGGAGTGATCTTGTGCCAATGTTAATATGAAATCTTCAAACTCGTTATGAATCATGCACATCGCACCTGTGGCACAAAATCAAAATGAAAGACCGGCCTTATTTATCACACCCATTTGAAGTTTTCTTTCAATCAAAGTAGTGGAAATTTCCTGTATTTACTGTTATACCATGACCTCATTCGCCTTTGTGTAGACCGTATTTTTGCAACACTTAATCAGCCAAGTGCCACGTAGTGAAATTTCAATTGTTACCCAGCCTTATCGGGAATGCATATCTTCACAGCGAGCGGCTCCTTTTTACAGCTTGCTCAAATGAGACCATCACAACTGTGAAATTCAATCCTAATTGGGCCTTAATTGCAACAAAAGCTGCACCATGTGCAAGTAGAATCCCATTAAGTACGTGCTTTCACAGAGTATACGCTAGAGAAGATCGTGAAAAGCTATGCTGCACACACCAAGCATGCTACACGAAGCAAGCGGCGACGGTAATAAACCAGAGCAGAGAATGACCGTAATCACCGTACCTGCTTAGGAATGTACTTTCCATTTTCTCGGAGGTATCTACTACGAATGAGTGCTTGACTGAAAAAAAAAAAAGGCACGAGCACACTTGTGAAACACTAAACTGCAAAAAAAGGTAAGAAAAAGCCTATGAAACATTTTCATTCGTTTTAGAAACGACGTGAGAAAAAAGAAGAAAAAGCAACTTCTGGTTCACTCTTTCAGGAAAACCCACAGATAGAATTGAAGTAGCTTGAAAGTTGAAGTTAACCAGGAATAAAACGATCTTTTTGGAGATATGAAAACGTCCTCTTTTGCTGTTCCGCTTATCCGCAATATCATTCGGCATGCATTTGGTCATTTTGTTAGCGACAAATACACCTATTGTTCATAGCGGAGTGTATGGAACAATATCTTGAAGCGCGAGGAACATGCCTTCAGTGATGTAACTTTTTATTTTTTTCGAAGTCGCATTTCGTTCTTTCTAAACTTGATCATCTAAACCGCGAAATTCCTAACGAAATATGGTCGAATTCGGGGCCGCAATTCTGTGAGGCCTCGGTTGTTACGGGTTTAACAGACAAGTTATCGCATCTGCTGAGAACTTGAAGGTACTTTATGTTTACTCAAGTTAAACGTTCTTCAATTGAAGCATTCATTTCTGGCGCTGACCTAAAAAGCACATCCTGGACATTGGGTTTCTGTTTGCATGACCCTCGGTTCACGTATACAACTTGCGTAGCTGTTCTACGCGCTTTTTCTGAGCTTATGAGAAAAAATCTACATAATGAAGCACGCAGCAATACGGTGTTTTAAAATTACGTCCTAAAGTAAAGAAATTTCAACGATAAATGGTCCGCGAACTAGGTTGCGGCTAACCTAGCAAGCCAGCGACGGTACGCTTATCGACTTTCTGAGCGCGTTCCTCACCTATCCTGGACTTGTTGCAGCTCCACTTTCTTGGTAGAGGAAATCAGGATGGACACGTAGTGTCTCACTATGCCAATGAGAAAAGTAATTACTACGATAGGAAGGAAAACCCATATTCCTAATATCGGGATCGAGCAACAACTCCGCCATGCCTGAAATTTTTAACTGCCGATGTCGAGCGCGATCCTGTTGCCCAATTAAATTTAGAACACACGAGACTACCACAACAATAAGCAAAAAAAGTTCGTGTAGACAAAAAATAATGAACTGTTTTGACAAAATGTTTAAGTGTTTTAATAATAAACAGAAATGCATAGGTTAGTTTTATGCTTGAGCCTCTTGAGCTTTAGTTGTGCTAAAACAAATTTGAAGGCGATAAACATATAGCAGCCGGGCAACACTGGCTCTGCTTTTGTCATTTTGTGTTGTTCTTGGCATTGACGTCGCGCACCTTGAAAACAAACAGAACGTTACACCGAAACGAGGTAAAGAAATACGAGCGAATTTCTTTTTTGTCTGCTTCCTCCTTGCCACTGGAACGACCTCCTTCCTCCTCTTCTCGATCTCGTGACGGCTGCTTTAGAAAGAAGCGAGAGGAGAGAGGTGCGCGTGTCTCAGTGTAGTGAGTGTGCCGTAGGGAGAGGTTATGTGAGTTGAGTGATGTCCACCAGCACAGCTGAGAACCGCATGAACTTGGCTGCCCTGCAGAGAGTCGATTCCGCGGTCACCGAGATTGTGGACAACGCGAGCCAAGTGGCGCTGTACAGGTTCGCCCCGGCGACAAACGGCTGGGTGAGCCACCTCGAGCGTTGCGCGGCTATTTTTTCACCCCGTTCTACCGCTCTTTCCTCAAACAATAGCACCCCTGATGACCGCTGTTGCGGGGCGGTCATGGTGGCCACGCAGCCACTTCGACCTCAAAACAACGTAGTCGCAGGTGGATCGAGTAAGGCGCCTGAAAGTTAAGCACGGAACGGCTGTTTCGTTATCAACATGGTTCCGTTGTTCCGTTATTCGGGGGCATCGGTAAATAGGCATAGCGCAAACTCGGCACTGCGACTGCGGAGTTGCGTGTCGATTGGCCGTGGGTCACATTTGACAGCTTTCGGGTAAAGTACTGCCCGGAATTTCGAAGCCTCTATAGTAGCTGCGATTGTGTTTGTGCCATTATGGTTCTGTGGAAACCGAGGGAGACGTTGAGGCTATCGAAAGCACAAAGTGAGCGCCATCGGTCTGTTTGCTTTCAGCACGCACGAGGTCAGAACGCTTTGCGGTGTTTCGTGAGGGAAAAAAAATTCGAGTTACTGGCAAATGTGAGACGTGGTTCGGAGGTTTTCGCACGCGTCCGATCAACAGTTGTCGCATAAGCGCGCGCGTTGTATCAGCTGGGTGTGTGTTGCAGTGCTCATCTTGTCGCGTAGCGGCTCGATGCATTACATAGTGTTCGCATTTTATAAACTTGATAATAGAGAATGGTGGTCTATATTTCAACGATATTGTACATGAAGAGCTTGTTTTGCTGACGCCCTCGATCGAGAAGGAGTCTCATTGTTTCAGGTTAAATACAAACAAAGAAAAAACGTGGTGGTCGCACGAGATTTAGTATTGTGGCCGCTTAAACATATTTTTTTTTCACGCGTTTTTCAGCCAGTACTGGAAGATTACGCTGCTACGAATACTACCAAATTCATTAGTGTTACGAAATTCGCGGCGGTCATTGCATATTAAAGGACACCAAAGTTAAATAGAAATTTACGTCAGAGTGAAAGCTCAATGTGTGACATCTAAAACGACAAATATTATTAACAGCAGTGCCCCACTTACCGAGAAGTTGAGGTAAATGCACAATAATACATGCACAGCGATAGGACATTTAAAAAAAAGTACCAATGACATCAGACGAACCGTCTACAATTAATCACTAGTAATCAATCTAGCTGCACTAAATAAAGAACCTTCTGTGCATCAAGAGGCGCAATAAAATGCGGCTTATTCGTTTCTGTTTGATGCATGGAAAAAAGAACCGCCGGACATATGGGGGATGGCGCGACTAGTTCAAAATTTCAACTTTCGCGTAGTTACATTAAGGTTCCTATATAAAACAAGTTTCTAAGGTAGCATCACTCATTGTTCTCGAGCCATCTCCCTCACTTTCTGGATTACCCCTCCTTTTCTCTGCCATCCGCGACTGTAATTGGTGCATTCCTTGCATGTGATCTTGCAAATGGCTGATGGTGTTATTTATTATAGTGAAAAAGGTTCAAAACGAGTACGCATGCGCACATGACCAAAGACGAAATCGTAGCCAGGACATAAACTGAAGAGGAGGAGCGTTTCAGTGTGCACCAAGTCGACCAAGATTGTTTCACAATGCAACATCAGCGTTTTTCAACAATGCTGCATTGCCGTAAAACAACAGAAAATGGTTTCGCTCTCTTCAACTTACCTCGTGCTTTCCGAGATGAAGCACACCGTGAAATATAGTTATGGAACATTTCACACGAATGCTTTCATGCAACTTCATCGACCCGGATCTGCGAAGCCCGTTTACTTCTCATATAATAAAGAACGGAGACAGTCAAAACTGTTATCCGAGACCAGGTAGGAATGTAAGCCTAGCTAGCGAAATCAGCGACAGTCCAGGCCGAGCGTCTCGTGCTTAGCACTAACAATGTGTTTGCCGAGATTTGCATGACCCACTACATTCATCATTACATATTTCCCCCTCGCTGAAGATGGTGCCAAGTAAGTGTTCTAAGGTGTCGTGAGGACAAGTGGTTCGTGATATGGTTTGAGGCGATCCACATGTACGATTTCGCGGCCTTGGCGACGCAGGTCCACAGTGGCCGTGAGGGGTTCGATGGGGTAGTTAACAGTGGAAGTTTGTTCTATGACGCGATAAGGGCCATGGTACCTGCTGACAAACTTTGTAGAGGTACCAGGAGCAGCACTAGGGGGCACCCACAGCCAAACAAGAGAGTTGGGCGAAAATTGGTAGTTGGATCGTCCATCGTCGTGACGAAATTTCTGTAGCCCTTGTTCTTGTGTTGTAAGGGTGCGAGCTAATTGCCGACATTCTTCTGCATACCGCACGGCTTCGGAAACTGGTGTGCCTTCGGATGAGTCAGGTCGGTAGGGGAGAATGGTGTCAATTGGAGATGATGGTTCTCGACCATAAAATAAAAAGAATGGAGAAAAGCCTGTCGTCGCTTGAGGTGCCGTGTTGTAAGCGTACGTTACGTAAGGAAGGATAAGATCCCAGTTGGTGTGGTCGGAGGCGACATACATAGAAAGCATGTCGCCAAGTGTATGGTTGAAACGCTCGGTCAAGCCATTTGTTTGTGGCGATATGCGGTAGTACAGCGGTGAATCACATGGCATTCTGCAAGAAGTTCTCGAATAACATCCGCGAGAAAGATGCGGCCTCGGTCGCTCAAAAGTTCACGTGGAGCGCCGTGACGCAGAACAAAACGTTGCAGCAGGAAAGACGCAACGTCACGTGCCGTCGCGGCTGGTAGAGCGGCCGTTTCTGCATATCTCGTGAGATGGTCGATCGCTACAATAATCCAGCGATTCCCAGCTGATGTATATGGTAGAGGACCATAAAGGTCTATTCCAACCCGGTCGAATGGTCGCGCTGATCACGGTAACGGCTGCATTGGTGCAGTAGGGCGGCTAGGATCGTGCTTGCGGCGTTGGCACTCTGTGCAAGATCGGATGTACTTTTGAACGAATGCGTACATGCTGCGCCAATAAAACTGAAAACGTAGCCTGGCGTAGGTTTTAAACAAACCAGCGTGCGCACACTGCGGATCGGCATGGAAAGCAGCACATATGCTGGCGCGGAGATGCCTGGGTATGACGAGTAGCCATTTGCAACCGTCAGGGTGGTAGTTGCGGCGATAAAGTATTCCATCACGGATGGCGAAATGAGAGGCTTGTCGGTGTAGCGCTCGAGATGGCGGGTGGGCGAGTGTTTCAGATAGGTAATCCATCAGAGACGCAATCCACGAATCTTTGCGCTGCTCCGCAGCCATGTTGATGGGTCCTGATAGTGGAAGGAAGTTGTCTTGGATGGAGACACTCGCAATATCAGTAGAAACAGGCGAACGCGAAAGAGCGTCGGCATCGGCGTGCTTCTGGCCTGAGCGATAAATGACGCGGATGTCGTAGTCTTGGAGCCGTAATGCCCATCGTGCCAAGCGTCCTGAGGGATCTTTGAGGGAGGATAACCAGCAGAGCGCGTGGTGGTCGGTAACAACATCGAAAGGGCGGCCGTACAGATAAGGCCTGGGACGTTAAACCCCACAAATCAATCAGATAAGGCCGAAATTTTGTAATGGCCCAGATAATCGCTAGGCATTCTTTCTCAGTTACCGAATAATTTGCTTCTGTTCTTGTAAGAGTGCGGCTCGCGTACGCAACAACATATTCTTGGTAACCAGGCTTTCGTTGGGCGAGTACAGTGCCAAGACCGACACCACTAGCATCTGTGTGGATTTCTGTGGGAGCGCTTGAATCGAAATGGCGCAGTATGGGTGGTGTTGTAAGCAGTTCACGGAGCGTCGCAAAGGCACTGTCGCAAGCTGGAGACTACGCAGATAGATTGCGGTCTCCCTGAAGTAGGTCTGTCAGAGGCGCCATGATCGAGGCGAAATCCCGGACGAAGCGGCGGAAGTATGAGCAAAGCCCAATGAAACTACGCAGCTGCTTGAGAGACGTGGGCCTCGGGAACTCGCGAACAGCACGTAGCTTAGCGGGGTCAGGAAGAACGCCATCCTTCGACACGACGTGTCCGAGAATGGTCAGCTTGCGCGCTCCAAAGTGACACTTCTTCAAGTTGAGTTGAAGGCCTGCTGCAGAGAGGCAGCGTAGATCTCGAATAACATCCGCGAGAAATTCCGACATCCGATGACAGAAATTGCGGCACCGTTCTTTATTATACTCAGTTTTTATTGAAACACCAGGCGGGCGTCTAGTGCATGCCAGTAGGTACAAATACTTGTGCGCATACGGAGCAGCTGGAGGGTGTAATCAATGCACGTTCAGGAACATTTCAAGTTTAACCAGTTGACCAGAACACAGCATAAAGGAGCCGAAACGCGCTTCGGGACACCTCACCAATAGAACTCTCACTCTTCTGGAAGTTCCGTGCACTGCACCAGAATTGCCTGGCATTACGATTGTCCGAATGGGCACATTAAAAAAAATTTTATTGTAGTGCTGCTATTCCAGCGTTTGTACCAGTCTGTCTGGGGTTTTTTCTTGCATGTGCACAAGCCGGCTGACAGGATCCAGCAAGAAGCACGTTCACTGTGTCACAGAACGAACAAAACACATTTGGAGAACTGGACTAGTTATGAACTACTATGTACGGTGCAAAACCAGACGCCATGGCTAGTGGTGTAAAATATAGAACTGCACAACGTTGCCAGTTGAGTAACGCGAATCCCGCAACGTCTTGTTTATGTTCATAAAGGTAACCATTTATTCTACGGCTCATTTAGTTCCATTTTGTTTCATTTACATCTATTCACCGCAGCAACTGAACCCAAACATTCGCTTTTTCATGAAAGGTTTGAACCTTCTAGGGGGTGCATCAAAAACATAGTTGAGGAAGAAAGGGAAAGGTGTCACTACCTTGGAAACTTGTTTCATCTAGGGACCTTAACTATTTCGTTATCACGTGAAAATTGTTGTTTTTCATATGTCTCGGGAGTATCGTTTTTGCCAATTTGTAAAGTACTCCAGCGGGCTTTGCAGCATACCAAGCTGTGCACAATGAAATGCTC